AATTCCATAATATAAATTATGTTATATTTTATATGAAAAATCTAAATATCGAAAGGTCAAGTAAATGAAAACCTCAAAGAAGATTAATTGGTATCATAAACTCTACGTTGCATTTTTTCTTATAAGATAATCTATGTTTCAATTTGTTGTTCCTGCATATGGTTTTATGTATTGCGTTTTGTCGAACTCTCTTTTGGGATTTTCTTGCATTTTCCTGAAAAAAATCGAAAAAGATAGAAAAATATTGTGAAATTTCCCATTATATGATAACCGAATTTAGAACAAAAAATTATAACTAATGTACATTCTGAAATTCCACCGATTTCGAGACATTTCGAAATTGGAATGAATTTTTTATTCAGATTGTTTTGGAACGGAAATCCGAACCCATTTTTCACTTTTGAATAAGTTGGAAATTTTCCTTAAAAATCATTTTCAATCTATTACGTCCGATTTTCAATCCGAATTAACTTTTGTTTAAACTTTATTTTATTAATGTAATACATAAATAAAATATTAGCATTTGTATTCTTTTTTTTTTAATAAAATTTAGGCCTCGATACAATTTTGCATTATACCGCGGGCCGACCAACCCATAATTTAAGATTCTCTTTATTTAATGCATTAGAAATTTAGAATTCAAGATTCATAAATAATATTGAATGTTGATATGTCACATCATACTCACTTGTAAGTTATCAAATAGTGTACTTTTGAGTTTTGATTCATAAAAAAGTACTTTATAAGATAATGTTTATATTTTTTTTTTGATAATTAAGATAATGTTTATATGAACTTATTCAAAAGAAAAACAATATATATTAATATGTATATGTTCTGAATTGTAAAACTTTTTGAATATTTCATAATCTTCTAGAGAGAATTTCAAAACTCAGCTGAAACTTTTTGAACATTTCATAATCTTCTAAAGAACGTCCACGTCGATAAAAATATTAAAAAATAATATAAAATTAAAAACTACATAGTACGTACACATAAACCTACGCCTCAAGAAAATATACTAGGATCATCATCATATGTTTTTTGTCTATAATTAAAGTCACATGAAAGGGGCCAAGTTATTTGCTCTAACTGCCATTTCCATAACGGACCAAAGCAGCTTCCCTTTCAGCTGCACCGTCCAAACCTCGATTTCAACTAATATAGGAATCGCTTTGGTCCACAAAATCGAGAGCCTCTTTGTTGAACCTATCGATTTCGTCTTTATTCATCCGATACTTTTCGTGCCGATGGCTCAGCACCGATTTGATGTCCCATGAGTAGGGGTCGTGTTTTCCATTTATGAATAGGTGCAGGTCGAAGATCTCGTAATCGATGATCTGATCTCAACCGGATGATCTGATCTCAACTGGACGTGCTTTGTTATAAATTTGGTTCGGACCTCAAAAAGAGAGGTTTTGTATGCATCAGTAATTTGGTAGTTGTGTTCGTATGTGAGAGAGAAAATAGAAAAATGAAATCTCATTCAGCGAGGATTATTGAAAAATTGATGATTGTGTTATATTAGGAGTCTACCTTAATCAACCAGATAATAGAGATTTAAATTACCGAAATAGCATAAGATAAAGGTTAAGTTTTAATAGAGATTTAAATTACCGAAATAGCATAAGATAAAGGTTAAGTTTTGCTAGCCGATTTGCAAATCTATTTGGTAAAATAATGGAAAATTGGAGATGATAATAATAATAATAATAATAATTAATTTTAAAAAATTATAAAAATGCTATTGGGGTTTCTTAAATTGTTTTGTTACATTTTTATTTTGGATTTATTTATCTCCTTCGTCTCTACATAAATAATCTCGTTCTCTCTCGATTTATCTCCTTACATCACCATCATCTAGATTTGCATACCACCATTGTCAAGGGCGTTCCTGAGATTTTGGGGGTCCTATGTGAGATTTGAAGACGGCTAAAAAATGGGGCTCTTCTACAATTTACAATAAAAAAAATACAAAAAAGGTAGTAAACTCTATGTTAACTTGATTTTGTAAGGTACATAGCCATTGGCAAAGTTAGAAATGGGGTTAAAGTTTATGGGGGTTCGGGGGCAGCGCCCCCAAATTTTTTTAAGGATAAAATGTTTGCATGAAGTAGCACTAAAATAGCTGAAAATATATCAAAATAAATAACTAATACATTATAAATTTAATAATTAGGGGCCACCTGATTGGAAGAATTATAGAAACAAGTAAGAATCGTTAATTTATATTTATTTATGAATTAAGTTTCAAAATAATTATATATATAATATAATTTTTTTCTTTCAATAAATGTTCATATATAAAGGGTATAAACAAATTTGGGGGCCCTATATTTAAAAAAAAATCCGGGGGCCCTAGGCGACCGCCTACTTCGCCTCCCCTCAGAACCGGCGCTGACCATTGTGGAATTTATTTTTGCACCTTTTGTAGTCGCATTGACATGCAAAGGACATGTACAAAATGATATCTTCGGTAATATCTCAACTTTACACAAATGGAATTTTATCTAGCTGAAACAATTAATTTCATTGGTTCAAAGCATCCCTTGATAAGCCTTGTCATTGAAATGGATTGTGGACGTATACTTCATCCCCTTAGCTCTGATTTTTACAGGAGAAAGCTGACACGATTATCAGTTAATGCAAATGGATCCGCAATCCCTGAAGACTGCATTGACAAGAATTTAATTAATAAGAACTTATGGTAAGCACTTCTTCCGAAATGATTAGATTCCAACATTAATACACATTTTAGCTTTGTGGTCAGTGTTTTTCAATTTCAAAAAATGTATAATTATCTTTTAAGCAGTGGTTATAGTGTTTGGTTTCTAGTAGAAAACTACCGTCGTTTTCACGCAAGGCTTCTTCTCTCTTTTTCGTTATCTTTCTCGATTTCTCATTTTTTTTTTCAGATCTGCCCACCACCACCGTCCGCCTCTCTCACTCTATCTTTCGTTCACCACCGCCGCCATCGCCGTTGCCATTGATATGCAAATCTCGAGCTATAATACAGTATAATTACATTATATGTATATACATCTCTCTCTCTCCTCCAGATCTTAAAAGAGAGTTTCAGATCTGTACAGTTGCAGCAACATGACTATAGTCATATTCGAATATGACTATAGTCATATTTATGTATTTAGTTAGACGAATTGAAGCGTACTCCCCCTCCCTCTCTTTCGTTTATTTTGTACCTTTATTTATGTACTTTCGATTTCTCTCTCTTTTTTTTTTTTTTTTTTTTTTTCCAGATCTGAAAATACAGTTCAAATATGTACAGTAGCAGCAACATGACTATAGTCATATTTATGTATTTTTTTCGAATATGACTATTGTTGAATATGATTGTAGTCATATTCGAATATGTTATATATTCTCGTTTCAAGTTGACTTGTAATAACAAGATTCAAATTGTGGTTTTTTGTGATTTTTTTGTGTGGATGTTGATTGCATTGTTTCCCTACACAATAGGGAATCTTAGTTGTTTTATATAATTTGGTAAACATGACTTTACCACACTATATAATAGGAATTTTGAAGTTAAAAATTTTAAAAAGTGCAATATAAAGAAAGAATATGACTACAGTTGATATAGTCACATATAGTCATATTAGACTAGTCTTATTGAACTATAGTTATATTCGGCATAATACACTTGTCGGGGGAAAAATAATCAATTTTTCGTTTAAAAAAATTATGACTATAGTCATATTCAACTACAGTCATATTCAGCGTAGTAACCTCGTCGGGAAAAAAAATCAATTTTTCGTTTAAAAGAATTTAAGAAAATATTAAAAATATATGAAAAAAAAATAATAAAAAAAAAAAACCTTTACAACGTGAGTTTTGATTTTGTATGTGACAAAGCAATTTTTTTTTTATTTGTTAGCTGATTTTATGGAGCATACTAAGCTGATTTTTTATTTTTTTAATTAGTTGGCTGATTTTAAAGAATTTGAATATTGAGTTGGAAAAACTTTGCTATTATTTTGACATTATTTAAGGAAAGCGACGTGGATTATTGGGTAGGAGATTTTTTAATTTCAAAAGGGTAGTATTGGAATTAATATTTATAGGGATTTTTCACAAAGAAAGATTTAAGCAATGTTTTGAAAACCGAACCGGACCGGCCGGTCCGACCGGTTCAACCGCGAACCGCCGCCAAGTCCGGTCCGGTTAGATGTGAAAACCCAAAATTGTCAAAAAACCGGGTCAATTACAAAAAACCCGGTTCGACCGGTAAGAACCGGTAAAACCGGGAACCGGTCCAAGAACCGGTTTTTACTCAAAAGGCGAGGCCATAGCCGGATCTGCTTCAAAAGTGGTCGTGGGTGACTGAATCATGTCGAAGAAGATTGTGGGGGAACAGATCTAAGCGGATCTGTGTCGTATTGTCACCCAATCGAAGTGGTGGATGCCATATCGATCTATTGAAGAAAAGAAAAGGAAGAAGGTGAAAGAGAAAATGAAGAAAAAAATAGGCAGAAGAATATAGAAATAATAAATACAAGGAGAAGAATAAAGGAAAAGAAAAAGAAAAGAAGGGAAGAAGAGGAGAGGCTTCTGCGTGAAAAGTTGGAGGAAGAAGAAAGAAGAAAGAGAGAGGGGAGAGGGGAGAGGCGAGAGAAGAAAAAAAATGATTATAAATTCATATTTTATAAAAAGAAGTGGAGTTAGTTGGATGATAAAGAGAAGAAAGAGGGAAGGGAAAATATAAAATATAAAATATATTACATTTAAGGTATTAAATTAATAAAATAATTATGTATAAAAAAAAGTGAAAAACCCGGTCGAACCCCGGTTGAACCGGTCGAACCGTGACCCAGTGGCGTGTCCGGTTCGATGTCCGGTCCGGTTTTCAAAACATTGGATTTAAGAGTTAGACATATCACCATTTATTACTCATCGAAGGGTTTATTGCTAAATGGCCATATATATATATATATATATATATATATATATATATATATATATATATTATTTTATTTTAATATGAGAAAAGAAAAAGGGAAAAAGACAAAAATGGCAAAAATAACGTTGGGCCTCTAGAAGGCTTAAACCCTCTTCTCTTCTCCGCTCCAACTAAAACCTCCAGCCGCGGAAGCCGTTAACCCAGCGCCGCCGCCGGAGCAGTTAACCATGGACGACGCCGAATTAGTAATCGCCTCTTCTTCAATAGATGTCGGCATCAGCTGCTGGGACCTCCACACGGGAGCCGAGCACCTCCGCTTCAAGTCCTGCGCCTCCCCTCCCCACGGCGTCTCCTCCGTCGCCGGCCGCTTCCTCGCCTCCTCCCAGCTCCGCGACTCCAAATCATCCTCTGGATCCATTTTCTACTGGTCCTGGAACAAGGTAATTACAACATTTCGCTTCAATTATATTTCCTTTTCATGAATTTTTGAATTAGGTTATTTCATTTCCCCTGTTTTAATTTCACCAATTTTTCAGCCACTTATTGCATTTCATTCACAATTCATGCTTATATACATTATTGGGGAAAAGAATGAGCAAATTCCGTTTATTCGGTTGTCGTAAATTTTTGTGCAGCCCCAAGTAGAAGTGAAGAGCTTCCCTTCCGAACCGATAAAGCCCCTCGTATCGAATAGTCAAGGAACTTATATTGCCGGTGGCGGTGTTTCGGGGGAAATATACTTATGGGAGGTGACATCAAAATTTAAATTTCATTTCATACTATTTCGTTTTATTAATCGCTTAAATGTTCGTAATTTAATTGGGGATTTATTTTTATTATAATTGTAGGTTGCTACTGGGAAATTGCTTAAGCAGTGGCACGCGCATTACAGGGCTGTTACTTGCTTGGTTTTTAACGACGACCAATCCCTTCTGATTTCAGGGGCCGAGGATGGATATGTTTACGTTTGGTCACTTTTCCTGTATGTTTTTTCGATCTTTCTGTTGAAATTGTGCTGCATTTTTTTTGTTGAACGAGTAAATTTTTTTATTATTATAAATTATGCTTCAGGATATTTGATGATGTAAGGAGGGCAGAATCAAAGCATCTATACGAGTACAGTTTCAACGCGCATTCTTTGAGAGTGACCGATGTTAAAACTGGCTATGGTGGATGTAATGCAATCATCGTTTCTGCTTCTGAGGATCGTACATGCAAGGTTCATCTCACAATTTCCAATCATTTTTTTTATATGTATTATTCTCGGTAAATCTAATGCTTTGACATAAAGGCTAACCTGGAGAGAGAAAAAAAGAAAACAAAATCGAATCTTTTTAGTCTTTGTTTGGTTCCTAAGATAAGATTTTATAATGATACGAGAAACCCATTTAATTAGGAGAGGTCCAATACACAATCCCGCGAAAAGTTATTGGACTAACCAAACATCAAATAAAACCCGATTATTTAATCAATCAGGGCTTATATTACCAACCGAACGAGGCCTTATAAAGGTATGGTCATGTGTGAGTCGAGCGAGTATATTCCTTAGTTAATTGCATGATTCGGAAGTGATCTTGTTGTGTAATATAATTATGACAATTGACTTCGAATAAAATCTTGCCTTATACCAGGTTTGGAGCTTAGCTAGAGGGGAACTGTTGAGAAATATTGTCTTCCCTTCAGTAATCGATTCAATTTCACTTGACCCGGGAGAGCACGTTTTCTATGCTGGGGGTAGAGATGGAAAGATATACATTGCCGGATTAAATGCTCCCGTAACCAACAATAGCAGTTATGGTAAATACATAATCGGTTCACTATCCGAGCACAGGTTAGTCTACCTTTTATGTTTACAACTACCCCTGAGGTATGGTCAAATTACGAAAAAACCCTCATGTTTGAATAATTACATCTACCCCTCAACTATGAATCTTCTTACATCTCCACCCTTATGCTGTCAAATTCAACATAATCATCTAGATTTCGTGGAATGTTCTCTAGTTTGTACTCGTTTTGTGTAAAAATACAGTTTTTGATGCACCACAATTTGATATATACAAGCCAAAAACACATCTTATGATCATCTTGCTTCAAAATATGGAGCTCGAATGAGATCAAACGGGTACAAAATTGTGAATATTCCATATAATCTAGAAGATTCCACTAAATTTGACACTCCGAGCGTAAACATGTAAGAAGATTCATAGTTGAGGGAGGTGGTTGTAATTATCCAAACATTCGGGTTTTTTTTTTCGTAATTTGACCATCCCTCAGGGTTGGTTGTAATTTACCCTTATGTATATGTGTGTGTGTGTGTGTGTGTGTGTGTGTGTGTGTGTGTATGACTCGGAATTCATAGGTTTATTCTCGCGTATAAACTGTACAAAGTTCCATGAATCAGTTTGTGATTAATGATAATTGTTGCTTAATTTACTCGAAACGGTGCTTATTTTGAACGAACTACTGACATAGGTGATTGACGGTTTTTGCCACGTCAATTTTTCAGGACATAGTAAATTTTCATAGATGTCTGAAATAATGTTAGTTTTGTGCCTCAAAACTTTTCTGCCAATGTATGTTTGGAGTTCGATTATTCGTGATTGCGCTTGAACTTCTTTAATTGGCTTACTGAATTTGTCCATCGATTGTAAGTTTAATTCTCTGTGTCTGAAAAACCATTAGTTGTAACAGTATCACAACCTATTTAATTTGAGTTCAATGTGCATTTTTTTAGCATTTTATTCAACTGTTTTTACATCTCATTGTAAGATTTTTTTTCTGAATTTTCTTTAATAGAAAAATCCTTGATCTGTTGTAACAGTAAATCTGTAACATGCTTGGCTTCGAGTGCAAACGGGTTTCTATTAGTTTCTGGATCAGAAGATGGCATGATTAGAGTGTGGGATACGAGAACTCGAAACATGATTCGTGTTTTCAGACACACAAAAGGTACTTCTGACACATGTTTCCCTTGTAATAATGCTTCCAATAATATGTAAATTTTTTTCGATAAATTTATTGGAACAGTAGTCCCATAACTTATGGATAAATAAACGGAATTACACAGGTCCAGTTAATAACGTTCTCGTAATAAGAAATCCACAACACTTAAATCCTCAGACATCTGCTAATTCCTCGTCACGGAGACATGGTTTGACTTTACCACCTCCACTTGAGAAATTTGCCAAGTCAGCGGACGAAAATTCCCACATTAAAGCATTCATCGGTGGTTCGCATTCCACTTCCAACCAACTGTTAGACTCTTCGTATATCTCCGTTCAAACAATGGAGTCTCAAATTAAAGAACTACAGGTACCCCTTTTTTTTTTATGGTAAATGCGTTTTTTGAGTTATCTATTTAGGCCCCGTTTGGTTGCCAAGATAAGCCATGATTAACTAAATAGTTGGACTTAATTTGATGTTTGGTATCTCCAATAAATTGCCGGGTCGACCCGCCAAAATTATATAATCATGGCTTATCTTGCCTTCTAGTGTGTCGCAAGCTCCAATAAAATAATTGGGTTTCATTAGATTATTTAATCTTATCTTGGCTAATCTTATCTTGCCAACCAAACGGGGCCTAATCATATAGACAGCTTCTTTGAAAGAGCCACGGAACTGATGTAGATATATATCTCACTGATTTACAGTTCGTATACGGAATTCTATGTTTTGTCCTTTGCTCATTAAGTAACTGCTGTGATATATGTAAATCTCAATTTTCTGTTTAATTATTTTGTAGCCCCGTGAATTTTTTTCTCGTTATTTGTTGCTCGAGAATGAACCTTCTTCGAGGCCAATGTTGAATACCTTGAAGTTTCTAACTTTTTCGTTTTCGATTCGATTCTCCACAGCAAAAAGGTTCTTCTGCTGCTGCTGAGGTGGACTTGGAAAGGCTGAAAAGTGAGCAGCAAAGTTCTGTACAAATGATACAGAAATTAAAAAAAATAAACGAAAATCTGCACGAATTCTGTGTTACCAAGCTTCTCGATGCCAATCGTGCTGAAGCTGCCGAATGAGTAATGACCACAATTTACGAGGTTGTTTTGTACTGTATTCATTCCAATTTTCTGGTATTACTATAATTATTACTAATATTATTAGTGTTTTTAAGATTTGGTACAATTGTTTTTCGATTTTGGCCAAGAACCCATCATTCTGTGGATTATAAGATCGAGTAGTTAAATCTTCGATACCTAATTTTTCCCGTGACAATGAAATATCAGATTCGCAACAAACGCAATAAATCTTGTGCATTTCTTTCATGCAATTTTTGGCAATGTAGGATAATGTGAAAATGTAATACATAATTTAATGCGAAACCCGAAACCTGAAACATTTGACCAATGTAAATAGAAAATTCCAGTACAATTTGTGAACAACATCATTAACAAATGTATATATAAGTTATTACATTTGGCCAAGGTAAATAAAGAATTCCAGTACAATTTGTGAACAACATCATCAACTTCGTAAGTTAAAACATTAATCACTGTTTATTTACGGTGTTATCCTTTAATTTTAAAACCACTATTTGTATTTTCTAGATCGTCCACTCAATATGAAAAAAATGATTAGTCTTTCATAGCATAATATATTATAAGCCCTTTATTTGTGTTAATTTAAACTTATATATACTAAAATATTAGCATGTAATTAAAACTACGAATTTAGTATATTTTAAATCTTGAAGCTTTTAGACTTAAGTATGAAAAGTACTTTAGCTTGATTATAGTTTTGAATTCTTAACTAATTATATTTTGTAATTCGACCATAATTCAATGATAGAAAACTTTTTAGAATTGGTTCTTCAAATCGCTAATTAATTTATTTTATTTCACTTTATCTTATTTATTTACTATTTAAAATTAATATGTGAATTTGTCAGGATTGACTTCTAACCCTACGACTAGGGGTGGTAAACGAGCCGAGCCGGCTCGACAAAGGCTCGAGGTCGAGCCCAAATTTAGTTGTTCGACAGCGAGCCGGCAGCTCGCGAGCTGCCTTTTTTTTTTCTTCTTCTTTTAATATAATATATATATACATATATGTATATATATATATGTATGTATATATATATATATATATATATATATATATATATATATATATATATATATATATATATATATATATATATTATTATTATTATTATTATTACTATTATTATTATTATTATTATTATTATTATTATTATTATTATTATTATTAACCGAAATAGTAAATAGTCTATAATAATAAATATTTCTAGTATTTAAATAAAAAAAATCTATAAAACTTAGATAATTCATAATAATATAAAATATTATAATAATAAATAGAAAAATTAAAAAAAATATATAACTAGAGTTTATTATTTTCCTATAAATAATTTTTAATAAAAAATTAAATGAGCCCGAGCTCGAGCTCAGCATTATGGACTTGAGCTCGAGCTTGAGCTGGCCAAAACAGCCGAGCTCGGCTCGTTCTCACCCTACCTACGACCCCCGATTCAAAATCTGACTGAAACCATTTTCAACCCGGGCTGAGTTTAGTTCATTGCATCTACGATTTTAGAATAATCGGTAACGTATTGTGAACCAATGATTTAGAATTGTAAGTAGCGTTTCGAACAATGAACTGTTGATTTAAACCATGAACTGGTAATTAAACAATATGAACAAAGATGAAGAGTAAAACAAAATAGAGACAAACTTTCTATTAAACATAGACGAAATAAGATATTACAAATCATAGGAGAAAGAGACTATGGGTTCGTTCTGTTACATATAGGCCCGTTTTGGTTCAATGGATATGGGTGGATGGATCTCCAAATCCTTCCGGATCTGTGCTTTGGTACACACTGACCGGCCCAAGATTGATCCTGGGCCTGGGTACAAATCTAGCGTTTTCGGGTATACGGATCAGGCCTATCGAGGTGGGTTAATGTAATGCATTGTTTTTCAGCCCAAATTTATCATGCTTTTACAAAATTGCCCTCTTTAATTTCACTTAATTAAGATTATACCAGCTATAAATACAATTTCTCTTCCACAGAAACGTGTTTTTTGGGTGCCCTAACTCTGAAATCATGCCATCGATTTTTCAGATTGTTTCAAACTCAACCCAGACAAATTGAAGAATTTTGGGTGGTTGTTCGGCCGCTGGTAGGTGGTTTCGGTTTCGGAATTTCGGGTGGTTGTTCGGCCGCTGGTAGGTGGTTTCGGTTTCGGGATTTTGGGTGGTTGTTCGGCCGCTGGTAGGTGGTTTCAGTTTTGGAATTTCGGGTGGATGTTCGGCCGCTGGTTGGTGGTTTCGGTTTCGCGGCTTGTAGACGTTTCGGTGGTTGTTTTTCTCGACTTTCTGCTACATGTCGATTTAAGGTTAGTTTTTCAATGTGTTTAAGCTTTTGTAGATTACAAATAATTGTAGATTTGTCTGTTTTTTTTTTTTTATTGTATTTACACTACATAGTTATGGAGTCTGCTGCTCTGCTTTGATTAAATCCTCCTGTGATATTTGCTGTGATATTTGGAAGGCCACTTCAACCAAAGGGTTAAATAATTTGCTCTTCTTGCCCAACATCTTCTTCTTAATTCTCTCGCCTTATGTCAATACTTCCAGTTGAAAAAGACCGATGTATGTGTGTGTGTGTATATATATATATATATATATATATATATATATATATATATATATATAGGGAGAGAGAGGGGGGTTTAAGTGGTTTCAAAGATTGTATAGGACTAGGATTTTCGTTTTATAATTCATGCAATCTTTGTTGTGTCCAGATTTGTTGTGGGAATATTTCCTATTTGAATTATAATTTTTCTTTGGACAATTGGTTGCGTTAGTTTATTTGAATTATAATTTCTTCTTAATTCTCCCGCACGATAAAGTAATGAACGTGTTATTATAAGCTCCACAGGAAATAAATTGAATGACCCCCCTGCTGCCGCCCCCGCTTCGATGCTGCCGCTAAATTCCAAGCCTCTTGCCCCCAAGTAGTCATCGACATAGAGAGCACGGTGCAACATGGAACGGCATGCGGTTTAGCGGGACCCCAGCGTGAGACGAAACCCCACTCTCACAGCTGGATTGTTCATGAATAGTACAATAGTGTACTATAGAGAAGATTCGCTAGACAGGTCGGTTGTTTCGAGGTTTACGTTGAGCCGGAGCGGTGTGGGTCAACGGTTGACTTGGGTTGACCGGAGCCAAGAACGGGTCGTCTATTAATTACAACTTGGCTGCAAATACTTACGGATTCTGCGGTGCGCATGGAAGTTGCAATGACGGTAATTCTCTTGCTTGTGGGTGTTTGGACAGATTTGTGCCGAGAGATGAAGAGTGTTGGGTTCGATCTGATTGGTCGGGAGGGTGTGGTGTGTAAGAAGGACGCCGTTGGATTGGCCTAACGATGTTTTCTTGGGTTATTCTGGGATTAAAATGCCCGATTTTCGGTTCACGTGGTTTAACGAAAGCTTTAATCTCTAAGAGTTCACTAGTAGAAAAATGACTTTTTACTACGAATTTTTTTGCTACGGTAGAAAAAGGGATAATTACAGTTTTGGTCTCCCAAGTTTGCACATTTTTTTGCTTAATCAAAAAATAAATAATGACCCATGTCACGGTTTGAATTTTTTTGAAGTTAATTGGCTTTTTGGTATTGTCTTGCATTCTACAACATATGTGCTTGATCTGTCCACAATCCATGTGAAACTGCAAGTGTGCAATTAAGATGGAATTACTTGAAAACCTTTGGGTTTGTCCATAATCCAATTGAAATTTAGTTTCCCCCTTTTGTATTGTTTTTTGTTTGAATGCAAGGTTTGGGAAAGATGCAGTTTTTGGAAATTATTTCGACGCTCCTTATAAAGAGCATCTTTGTAAGGTACTTAGTGCATGTCGTTGGGCACAAGTGCATGTCGTTGGATCGTCTTCTTGGAGAGTTATCGAAGACACCACCTTCGAGGTACATTGATTGGGATACGTGCTCTGTTTTCTTGAATGGAATTTTTGTTGGCTCTGCTGATATCCGTACATATTTAATTTCATAGTTTTCTTCGATTTCGAGACAGAGAAATCCGGTGAGATTTTGCTCACGCGTAGCTATTGGGTGGACCAGACATTGAATAGGCAGAGCATGAATATCGGAGTTCTTGAAGGTAATATTTGTGTGACTGATGATACTTTTCATTTCGATGTATGGGTCATGAAGGAATGCAGAAATCGAGATTCGTGAACAAAGGAGTTTGTTATTGATTTAGCGGTTCATACGGGCGAAGCCATCGATGGACCTTTTAAGCCGCTGCAGTTTCTTAAAAACGGCAAGATTTTGATGTTGTGGAATTGTGATGATTTGGTTTGCTACCATCCGAAATAGGAGTTTCGGTTTCTTGATTTTGGGGGGTTAAAATTGTCGGTAAGATTGTTCCTTACCCTCCTAGCTTCATTCCTCTGAGGAATCTCTCATGGTTTACAATTTGGTAGTGCAGATGATGCCTCAAGGTACGATCTTTTATGGTTTGATTTACTCGTAAAAAATATGCTTATATATATTTCAAGTTAATATCAAATTTGTACATTTTTATGAATTTTATATAACAATTGTTGGTCCTGTTTGTTGGCGGAGGATCCGGACCCGAGTGAAGATCCATAATTTCCGAGCAAAAGTCGGTGCATAATCTGCGATATGTATTTATGCATCGTCTTGAATCTTGTATTGTTTCTTATGTTCCTTTGTAGCTTTTGTTCTTGTCTTAAATTTGTTATTGTGTTTATGTAATGTTCAATCTCAGTGTTTGAATGAGTGTGATTTTAATAAAATTTGGGATCTCCATACCTTCTAAGTTTATTTTTTGTGGAATTTTAACATTTATTATTCCTATTTTTGTGTCTATAATAGTACTTTAATTGAAAAATATGGGCTATTTAACAAATCCCCTCATTCAATTTGTTAAGAAAATTGTAAAAACATGAAATTTGCTACATCAAACAAATGTGGTGAAAATTCTAACAACATGAAAATTGCTACAGCAAACAAATGGGGTTGGAGGTGTAATTGGTGAAGGGAATGAGGTGAATATTACATTAATATAAATAAAGGTAAGGGTTTTGCATAATTTACTACAAAATAATACATCAAAGATTTAATCCTACATCAACGAATCCGACCAACCAAGTGCAATATTGTATCCACCAAAACCGAATCCCTACAGTGTATTTTGAAAATTAAACTTTAATCCCATCCCAACCCATCACCCCAACCAAAAGAGCCATTATA